TTCACAGTTTATGTTCATGGTTCAACCTTTCCGTCTGAAAGGGATTCTACCCATATGGTAAGCTAGGCCGATTTTGTTTTCTTTGCGGCAAAATGATAATGATAATGATAACGATAATGAATTTGTATAGGGCTAAAACTATAGAAGAATATTCAAAAGCGCTTTACATTAAGTTAAAATTAATGAATAAATATTAAATAAAAAATTTAAAAATCCCTGAAAGCTATAATAATAACAGTGATATGTTATGCTATGCTATGGTAAAATCTAAAAAAATGAAATTCCAAAATTCCAAACTAATTTAAAATTAAACATTAGAACTATTCCAACAAATTAAAAGCTTTCTTGAAAAGAAATGTTTTAAGTTGCTTTTTAAAAATGGCGAGGCTGCTACTTGTTCTTATAGTTAATGGCAACGAGTTCCATAAAACAGGTGCACCATGAGCAAAGCCCGATCCCCAAGTGTAGAGCAGGTGACTTTTGAAACAAACTGAAGAGATTGTGCAGACGAACGAAGAGCATAATTAGCAGCTGGTTTCAGGGATAAAAGATCTTTAATGTATGATGGACTTTGGTTGTGTAGTTACTTGTAAACAAAAAGGAGCAATTTGAACTGAACTCTAAACGTTACTGGAAGCCAATGTAAGTCGATAAGAGCGGGTGTGATATGATCAAATTTCGCAATCTGAAAAGTCACTCTAGCCGCGGCATTCTGGACTTTCTGTAAACGATCAAGCTGATATTTAGGTAGACCAAATAGAAGTGCGTTACAGTAATCAAGGTGCGAAGATACAAAGGCATGGATCAGTGATCAGTGTCAAATCGGACCGACAAACCTTTACGTGTAAACTACCTTTTCGATTATACATCATAATATTTGATACTCAGTAACCTTAACTGGTGTAAGTTTAATATACTTTATGTATCTTCTGGCGAAAAGACCCAGGAAGATTGATAACCTATTTAACATTTCCCTCCATGAATAATCATAATTTTGTGTACACAAACTGCCCTTTGCGTGTTGTGTACAGTATTACATTGCGGTTAAATCTGCCCTACAACAAAGTTACGAGTCTTTCCTTAAAACAATACATGAGACAAATGGTATAAGTAATTTATTTTCCGCGAAAATAAACAATGTTAGTTAATGTGTAAACACCGGCGCAAATTACAAGCAATGCTTAAACCATTTTCAGACATTTCATTCATGCGTCATTCTGACATAGTCCGCCAAAGGGAAAAAGTAGCTGCATAATACCTTGCAAAATTATAACTGACAATCAAAACATGAATAAAACGTGAGAGATGTAAAACTTAGCCTCCCACGCAGGCGTTTTTAGGGGAGCTCGTATTTCGTCCCTTCCCAAAAACGCCTGCTCAACCGAGAAAAACATTCCTTTCCCGAGCTTAGGCAATCACATTGTACCTTCTAAATTCTGGAAAGTTGACCGTAACTGCAGGATAACCCGATTATTACTCGATTTGCGTGAAACACTGGGAAAAGCTTTATGACCTCTAACAAATGTTAGACTCAGAGCGCTAAAAGTAAGATTTTGGTCAGATTTTAGAATAATCCGTGCACTGCATAACCTTAGCGACGAAAAACAAGGAAGGAAAAAGATAACTCTGGGGTCACGTTTTTACACTACAACGAGCTTATGAGTCGTGTTTTGCCTGCCAACACTTTATTTCAAAACTGTTGATTGGTCACTTACTACGCTTATAAAATAATGGGAAAGGAGCTCCCCTAAAAACGCCTGTGTGGGAGGCTACGTACTAGGTTAGTTTTGGAGCGGGTGTATGACTAAAAGCGTGACCAGGCGTAATGCAAAGCTCCGAAAAGTTTGTACTAAGTCGAACACAAGAAACTTCAATCTACAGTTTTTACTCGAGCAACACCGTTGGTTGTCCTACTCTGAGAAAGGGAAAGGAAGCTCTCACTGAAAGTTCTCTTTGTGAAAAAGGGTTAATGGAATGTTCTTAGCTAAATACATATTTCTTTTTATTCCAGTTATCACGACCAACACTGACAAAGTCATGTCGGAATCCACTGAAATTGCTGTGACAATAGTAACGTCAGTGCTTATCATCACAAGTATCGCCGGAAACTCTTTTGTTTGTGCCATTATTAAGAAGAATCGAGACATGAGGTAAATACATGGTCGCCTTGTACAAAGCTATGGAGTGATACTTCCAACTCCCCTTAACCACTTGATACCACTATATTGTCATTTACGCATACAACTGATGAAAAGAAGGCGAATAACTTATAAATAAACAGTAGATAATCCCAATTTATGGAACCCCAGATTTTTCGAAACTCTAACCAAACCTATCTTTCTTTCGCCAATCAATCACCTTTATTTATTTATTTATTTATTTATTTTTTTTTTTTTTTGGGGGGGGGGGGGGAAAATTATGGTTGCTTCCTTTCCAATCTTTCGCCTCTTATCGCTATTTTCGAAAAAATGCCGTGATATACCACGTTACAATGCGTTGAGTAACTTTACCATTTCATTTCACAGAAATCCCATAGATTACTTACTGGTGAACCTCGCGGTAGCGGATATCATCTATACAACATTTTCTTTACCAGGCGTGGTGTTGGGATACACTAACAGTCACCCAGAGGGAGTGACTGGCAAGGTGTTTTGCATAGCACTGACACGGGGAACCATTACATGGGTCGGGGCTTTTTCTTCAGTCTTAACTCTGGTTGCTATTGCCACGGAACGATACTTAAGCGTTATATACCCTGTTGGCGGCAAAGGAAAATTTACCATGCGAAGACTGAAGGTATGTTGCAGTTTCAACACCCAACAATAAGCCAGCGCTGTTTGGTAAATGCATAACGAAGATGAGTAAGTTGAAAAAAAATTCAAAGAATGATCATTCAACTCAAATCAGGAATTTAAGTTAGCATTAGCAGCGCATAAAATAGGGAAATTATAAGAATCCCTAACCAAATGCAACAAAATGTACTGAAGTGAATTACCGTAGAGTATCTATGAGTGTTGCAATATTCTAACTCTACCGGATATCCGCTATCTATGAACAGCAACGGCAGACAATTAAAACAAGTCTTTCACACACATGGAACATCATGCCTTAGCTTTTGGCCGAGAGGGTTTGGTGAACTAAATCGTAGTCCTCACTACTGAATATTTACTTCCGTCTCAATCCAGTCCTCGCTCCTACTTTTTCACTTGTGGCACAGAACGCTTCACTTTGGAGAACAGCGTGGCACAGCACAAAGTAAAAGCTTTGTAAATAAATGAAAATGTAAATTCTTAGCAGAGTTCGATTTAACCTAATTTTGTTTTTATATTCCATTCCTAGATCATTATACCTTGTTTTTGGGTCTTTTCTTTATTTTTGCAAATCCCGGGAGTTATAAACATGGCATTAGACAATGAATTCAGAAAACGAGAATCAAAGTTCTGCACCATGAGGCCGCTTTCCTACAAAAATTGGCTACGCAAAGGTTCTTTTTTCTTATGGTTTTCCATGGTTGTTATTTCGATTGCGGTGATGATTGGGTTATATTCCAGAGTCGTGTACTCCTTGTGGACCAGGAACAACAACGTTGAACTCACACATCGACAGAAGGTAGGTTTTTGTCACGTATCAAAACCTTAATACATAGAAACGCTTAGGCTTAAGCTCCTCTGATAAGATTTAGTGAAGCTTATCCAATGTTCTTTCTGATTATACTTCTGTCTTAATAGCTAGAGTTATTTTACTTTCCCTTGAAACAGATAGCGGAGTACTACGCACTATCTGCTAGATTCATATTCCCAATAACGCACCTTGTTTTCCCCAAATATTTTGCCAAAGTTTGTTTTCAATTTTTTTTAAGGTACGGTCACCAGTCCCAAGAAAAATTGAAAATGATGTCATGCAAAATTTTGTGGGGGAAAACAAATTGCTTTATGGGAATGATATTTTCTTTTGTTTACTTGTTAACTATTTGGTACTGTTTGTCCGATACTGTTCCACGGTTTAATTAATATATATCTATAACTAAGATAATACGTAAAAAATGCTTGTTTTATTATTCAAATACATACCAATTCCAATCAGAAAATGGTCGACGACACGCTTGTGACTCAACTGATATTCAAATATTACTCAATGGTAACAGAGATTAAGGTTGAGGCCGCGGGGGACACCTATATATCTATAAATAAACTCATGAGGCATTATTTTGCTTATGCTATTTCTTTTAAAACGCTTATACCTCGGCTGTATTAGAGGCGATTTAGATAAAATTTAACACAGAAATTTTGGAATGACGGAAGTTTTGGATGGTTGTTTTATATTTGGTAGATCGCACTTAATGCTTTAAGCCACACTTGTACCAAATTGATCTCCTCACTCGAATTTGTAACTATCTTATTTAATGTTACACCTTATACTACATCAGACTTTCCTCAACATACAGCTCCACGAACGTCGAACTGTCAATCTACAGAATTTATCACGTCTACTTACTAAAGAGCGTTTTAACATTACACATTTTCGTTATTCTTATAAATATAAAGACTTAGATGCCTTCTCCCAGTCTTGGGCCTGCAATGATGTTTTACGTTCGCTCAGTGGTAAACATTTAGTGCATTTGTTGAAAACTTAGTCCTCTTACTAGCCTAGTCCCTGACTTCGTAACATCCTAGTATCCATCAGTTAGTTTCTCATACAAATTTGTAACATCAGTTGCCCATTAGAAGTGAAAATACACGGGATGGGCAGTCGCCCTTCTCTTAGCATAAAAAGTGAGACCTATTGCCTGGGACTATGCCAGCTGATGAGTCCTAATGAGGACGATTTAGCTGTTCATGGCTGACCCTGCCGGGGTGATCTGGTTGTGCTCATGCGTAAGGTAATGGCCATACAGCAGAGTTGGTGCTTCAGTGCAGAAACTGGTATTGGAGACTACCTTGCCTGCAAGATGGCTCACTTATGCTTATTCCGGAAAAGGTTTTGCCGCCATCACGCCAGGAAAAGTGAGCCTGCACGCGGGCTATTGATTTTTCAGTTTCGCCCCTTTCTTTGTGTCGATACTATCCAACAGGAGCAAAGCAAATGTAAACATAATGACAGGAAGTTGCACGTGCAGATGTTATACTCAAATGCATCAGAGGTTACTTTTCCTCACGCGAGGGGCCGCCAAAATTCTACCTGAGTTAGCTCGCACAAGTGAACCTGTTCGCAGGCTAGAGGCAACCAATTGGCTATTCACAAGCGTGGCCGAGGATCTAAACTGGAGACGACCGAGAGCAAATCCAGCAGGTGGCTAGAGTGGGACTCGAACCCGGTACCGCCCAATTGCGAGCCCAAAACGCTGAGCACTCGGCCACGCTGCCTCCTCCAGAGGCGAGTATGCGAGGCGCCGGGCAGAATGCCTAGCGCGATAGGCGCACTTAGCTAAAGCAAAGCTGGCCGGCACAGTCCTAAGGTATATCTTGCTTCTTTACAACGTTTTTAATTAATTCAACCTGTAAATGAGTTTTCTGATTTCTTACGCAGGCTGTGCTGAAGGTACGAAAGCGAGTGACCTTAATGATTGTAACAGTCAGTGCCATATTTGGTATCACTTGGCTCCCAGATACAATCATGCACACCGTCGAGGTAACAACCAGCCTTAAGTTCGGTCCCGTCGTATTTCCTATTGTTCACACAATCATCATGTTCAACTGCGCTGTCAATCCATTTGTTTACGCGCTGATCAACCAACGATTCAGAGAAAAGATGAGGAGAATGCTGTACTGCAGTTCACGCTTATTGGAACCAAGAAGTCGCTCAAAATCTCAATCGCATAGCATCGAGTTAGTAATCACTCAGCCAAGGGCTTAGAAAAAGAAAAGGGAGAAACCAGATAGCTTCTACAGAAACTTTGGTTTATTATAATGTAAATTAATGATGTAACATTCAGTGTAAGAAAATCAGGCAAAATAGATTAATAATGAGAATGGTAATTGTTTGAAAAATCTTGTTCCAGAAAGCAGTTCTACCTTAAACAAAACCCCTCCCATATTTGAGCCCCAAGTGCATCAACATTAACAAACGAATTGTCACTCTAATAAGTTTATCTCAATGCTTATCTTAGCTAATGCTGTTCAAATGAAAATAAAACTTGCGAAAAACAACCACAAATGGTGAGAGAGACTTGCCAGTAAATACGAAGATAACGAAGTTTGCCAATAAATGATTATTACACTGGAAGCCCAATTTTGTATACTCATAAGTCTCTGATGACTTAAATAAGTTGGAAGAAGAATAATAGAAAGCTTTAGAAAAAAGTTCTAGATGAGAATCGAACTGACGACCCTCCGAACTCTAGTTCGAATGCTCTAACCACTGAGCTACCGAGGCTCAACGGCAAGTACGGTGAAAATTCAATTATAATTACTAGAACCCAGTCATAGAGGACTGTATCGGGTACTTGCTCGAAATCGGCTTTTCGCTAGCGTACAAAACCAAGACTGTAAAATAGAATTTTTAGAATTCTAAGATCAGAGAGCTCAGAAAAAATTCCGAGCTCCAGGTGAGAATCGGCGAACTCACGACCCTCCGAGTTCTAATTCGGATGCTCTAACCACTAAGCTACTGGAGACACTATGGCGAGCAGGGTCGAAATTTAATTATAACTACACCAGTCATAGAGGACTGTATCGGGGGCTGGCTCGAAATAGGCCGTCCACCAGAGTATAAGACAGAGACTGTACAAGACAATTTGGAAGAATGTTAGTATTGTTTAAAAACTGGAACTTAATTCATAAAGTAGACCAAGCAGTAGGTAGATCAATCTTTATCTGAATCTTTAGTAGTTACAAAGCCATAAGGTAACACTCTGCTGTAACATAACAAGGAGCTTTAGCAACGACGATGGCGACGACAGCAACGAGAACGGGAAAATCAACAGAGCAACTTCTGAAAAGCTTTGCACGAGCATCACGATTTTTTATTCCATGAAAACGCGAGACTTTCTAATTTCACGTTTTATGGAGGACGAAATCACAACACAAGGATTTTTTTTTTCAGGATTTGGGTACAGTCCTTTAGAATTCGAGACAAGAAAATTTTGCCAACATTTGAAAAACGGGGGAAAAAAGCATAAGTAAAAGCGATTGAAACTGAAAGTGAACTTACTTTTCAACTGACGTTTTCACCGCCGATACCGTCGTAATTGCTTGATCTCCTTAAGAGCCTTATAACAAGACCCTAGGTAAAGAATATCTACCTAATATAACTTTTCCCTGAAAAAATGGCTAGGATTTCAATTTGTCGAGGAAAATGAGGTAACACGTACGCACAAAGTGATTTCAAAGATTTCAAGGGGTTGTTCCCTCTTTCTTTTACTGTTAAAAAACTGTATAAGTTTTCGCCTGTGAACCTGGTGCCCTAAAGAGTCCGTCTCGGAAGTCGAGCAGACTTTGCAAGAATCGGTAAAAACAAAAAACATGTTAAGTTTGTCACCTTTTGACAATGCGGTGTATTATTTATTTCTGGAGCTATTAGGGGCCATGAAATTTTGATTCCGCGCTTATTTACATAACGCCATACAATGGTGCACTTGTAAAAACAACTTTAACTTGTGAAAAGATATCTGACAAACTATAAATTTGACTGTTCATATATATTTTGAGTAAAATCCACTGGTTATTACCCAACTATAGCAAAATAAGAACAAGAAACAGCAGTTTAGCTTAAGCAATGAAACAAATTAATGTAATTGACGCAAGATCCGCTCATAATAGATTTCATACTTGTCTTTAAAATGGCATATGAAGGGATGTAGTTATTACAGCCTCTATCTTCCTATTAATAAGGTGTCCGGTGGCGTGTGAACGTAACCTAACTAGTTACTGTCGTGTTTGCTTAAGCTCCACAACAGCCTTGTAAGAAGATCCTATGAAAACGATATTTAGCTGGTGTAATTTTTCCCTGAAAAAAAAAGCTAAAATCAAACCAAAAAAAAAAAATGTCCATTTTTGTGACAATGCAATAAATTATGTATTTCTTTGAGCTTTTGAAAATTTAGGGGCCATGTTTCCGCGCGTAGCTACACAACGCGATTCAATGGAATAATCAAGAAAACAACTTTAAATGGGGAAAAAAAACATCTCGCAAACTTAAAAATTTTACTATTCATACATGTCTTGAGCACAATCCACTAGTTATCATGCAACTATCAGGGGCACCCAACGAGGATATAGTTCAAAACCACATAAACATAGCATTGTTGAACGTAATTTAGTATTTAAACGATAGATAAAGGCTTATTTTTATCCCCTAAAAATTTTTCATCTTTTCGGATTTCCTAGCTGAAAGTATAGTGATGCGAAAATTATAGGGATCAAATTTACCTTTTCGAAAATTTCAGCCAGAAAAAAAGGCTCCCGAAAATTCTAGGTGAACTTTTTAGGGTAAAAATCTGTTAAAAATGGGCAATTATACCATTTTTTTGATGTTCGAAAATCCTAGGAGAGGCAGGCAAGCAAGAAATTTAACAGAAAATGATCCGAAAATTCTAGATCTCAAATCGTCTTCCGAACAGATAATTTTCCGAAAATTATCGTTGGGTGCCCCTGAACTATAGCCAAAATAAGAACAACAAACACCAGTTATGGATTAAACAATTAACGAAATGATTATGTCTGATGCAAAGATCCACACATAATGGATTTTAAAATCCTTGTATATAAAATGGCATATGAAGGGATGTAGTTATCGCAGCCTCTTCCTTCCTTTTTGTAATAATTGTCTAATTGAGCAAATTGTCTCTCATTTTAATGGAAGGCAATGCGCGAAGTTGGTGCCATCCTTGACTATCAGGTAACTTCTCTTAGTTGTTACTTCTCGTCGTTTGATGAATAACCCAGTTTACTTAGTAAAAGCAACGCTTAGCGCGCGGAGACCCCTTTTTAAAGAATTATTACTGTTACACTATAATTAATTTCTTTGCAACTGATGTCGACATTTTTCTTTCATCCAAACGTAGGTACGAACATGTATAATCGGACAACTTAACACATTTGGGTTTGGTCAAACTTTTCAAGCGTGACTCATGCGTGAAACTTTTTACATTCTACAAGAAGTGCAGCAACGAGGCCTCACGCTTTTGCTAGAAATGATCGACTTTGTAAGGAAAGGCAGCGATAAGCTGAAAGCGTAAATCCCTACTTGACACAAAAAAATTGCTGTCACCTTCTGTTGCAATATCGTGCGGCTTTTGCATATGAAACTTCCATTAGAGCAATGGATCCTTCTGACAACGTCGTAATTATGGGTCTGGACAGCCAACAAATATTGTTGGCTGGCTGTCGTTGTCTGAATTTGATTAAAAGTCTCAATGTCCATTTTTTTTTTACAGCGATACTCACGTTGACGTCACCTACTAATATTAATGTGCCAGCCCGTTGGTTGTTTAAACAAAGATTCTTTTGATTCACTTGTCTACATTTGAATAGCAAATACACTGCTGTTTGAAGTTATGAATATGTGAAAATCATATATGTGAACTGCGAAGTGAAGAATTAAATGAAGGATGATCATCGCAGTTACATACGCTACTTATGCAGTTGCGAAAAGAAAGGCTGAAAAAATTCAGGCTTCTACGGGATTCGAACCCTTGACCTCTGCGATACTGGTGCAGCGCTCTACCAATTAAGAGCGACTGTCTGCAAATATGGACCAAAATCGACTTTTTGTGGTACAACTTCAAAATTCGAATTTCGCTCGTTTTTGGCTCATCGATAACCCTTAATGAGTAATGAAACATGTTGTAGTTAGTTTTCCCAAATAACGTGTTCTTTTGTCAAAATTCGAGAAAACTCATTTTGTCCGTTCGGAGCGCAAAATTCACTTCCGGTAAAACGAAATTGTACACAAATTTCATTGACTCGTACGACAAACCACAGCGATTTGGCAGCCTTTGAAGAGCACAGATAGTTTTTATGACCCTTTCTTTCTAAAATTTGTGAAAGCTGTAATGATTTTATGGCCAAAAAGGTATTATTAAAAATAGGCCCTATTGACAGTTTTACCGTTCAAAATTATAGGGATAAAATAATGCAAATTTTTACAATGCGCTGTGACTTAAAATTTCGCAAATTGACTTTCTAAGGCTTGACTAGAACCCAGTCTATCAGAAAATCGAAACAAATCTCTGGGCAAACGATTTTAAGTAGCCCGCAAGACCTCGAGTTCAACCCTAATTTTGCGAAAAATCGCGATATTCCATTGTTTAAAAATAGCGTTACACGACCCGTCACGCCAGCGGTGTTAATTAACGATAGATGCACTTAAACATTCTATTCAACGTTGATCACACGCCAAATTCTAGCATACAATCTATATTACATCTTTCAATACACTTATCTTATTTAGAAGACTCAGTTTGTTTGGATACAATATATAGTGCAGAATTGCCCAGAAGGTCGGCTTTTTTGAGCGACATCGGCAAGACGCCGACGACCGAGCCCAACGAAAACAGACTTTAAACAAGTACAGTGGTGTGTTTTATTAATTTAAGCATCCTTCAAAAAGCATAAATACGTTAAATTTAAGACGAGGACAACCAATATTAACTAATTAGAACATTCTTTTTTCTTGCGAGTTTTCTCTTTCGAGTAATTATGTATAAGTATACATGTACGTTTCGATGTATTATGATCACGCTTATAAAGGTACTTTGTAAAGAAAGTCTCAGAAAATATTTTAACTCGTTTCGATCGACGATGAAACGCCATCATCAAAAACAAATCGCCAAAAACTTTACTATACAGCAAAACGGAAAATAGAAAAAAGTGGCTTTTTAGGCATGCCAAAATAGGAATAGTTGCAGCGTGAGT